AGATTCCCTGATTAGTGGGTTTTTGATAGACAGATGTGGCGTATGTGCTGTTGTTAGCGTGGATATGTACATCCAGAAAATTGATGGTTTTGTCAGTGGCTATTTCGTGGGTCACCCACAAAACTGGAACCACCCCCGCCCTCATCCCCCGTACCTACAAAATATCCTCAGATTGGAATCTATTTCACAACAGAATTTGTACACTCCGACAAACATTCATCAATAATGGATATAGTAATACCACATTCGACAAGACACTTCAACGATACCTGGACAGCCGCCAAAAAAACACCACTACCGACAACTCCACTGAACAACTCAAAGTCTACTATAAAAACCAATTCTCCACTGCATACAAGACAGACGAACGGATTCTAAAGGATATCGTTTACAAAAATACTACACCAAAGAAACAGAACCCAAAACTACAACTCAACATCTACTACAAGTCTACCACAACGTCGGACCTTATCATGAAAAACAGCCCCGATAAAATGACAACAGATCTACAGCAAGTGAACGTCATTTACGAGTACAAGTGTAATAAAGGAGACTGTGAGCTCCTGGCAAACGCCTCCTACATCGGAATGACTACCACGACGCTGTCAAGACGCCTGACAATGCACCTACAAAATGGAGCCATCAAAGAACATTGTGCCCGCATCCACAACCATAAACTCACACGTCAGGACCTAGTACAAAACACTAAAGTAAAACGCCGATTAAACGACTTCACAACGCTCCAGATACACGAGGCCATACAGATTCTACAGCAAACCCCCACAATCAACAAACAATCGACTGGAACAGAACGCACACTGCTACTTCTTGGCGAGGAACCCCCAAGCCACAATACAACACTCCACCAATCAACGCCTTCCAATGTAGTTGACAGCGCCACCTAATGAGCTAAATACCACCACCCGCTTGCCTATAAATATCCACTAACAGTAATCGCAGTTCACAAAACATTCAGCCTTGATAATGGATGCAGACGCATTCGAAACGCGTCGGCCAATTCACCACTATCTACAACTTTTGCTCGTTGTTCTAACAACGTTAAAACGGCTTATCGACTTCTTGAGAAGATTTCCAAGAAAAAAGTAAACCTACAGACATCGGTCTTATTCAACAAAATCTGCCCACACACATATATATATATATATAAAACTATATAATGGTATAAAATCAAATAACTTATCCTAAGTAAGTATGCTTTAAAACTATGACCACTTTAATTTTAAAATTGTTAGGTACGTGGAAAACCACATAAAAATGATGTTCCTATTTTTGTTTACATTTTGAGTTGTTTTTCTTGTTTAATCAGCGCTTTATTTGTTCTAGTCTGTTTCATACAGTTGAGTTTTCCATACTTGTTCGCTTGTTTTAAAATGATGGAGAAAAATAATTTTGCACTTACTTAAAAATAAAGAAATGAATAAAGAATTAAGTGGTTAATATGTTTATATATGTAACTGAAACTATAAATAGACTTTAAAGATTTTCAATGACATTATAGCGACCTTCGACGGATAGAGAAAACAGTTAATAAGTGATCAATCACACTGCAATGAGCATGACGAATAGAGAAAACAGTTAATAAATGATCAATCACATTGCAATGAGCATGACGAATGGAGAAAACAGTTAATAAGTGATCAATCACACTGCAATGAGCATGACGAATAGAGAAAACAGTTAATAAGTGATCAATCACATTGCAATGAGCATGATGAATGGAGAAAACAGTTAATAAGTGATCAATCACATTGCCATGAGCATGAAAAACATTATTTGTCGTACTTTTTTTCTTATGTCAATATAGACAGGTAGAGTTCCACATGCTGTAGGAAGAGTAACTGGACATCAAGGGCCTGTGCTTGATTTAAAATGGAATCCTTTCAACGACAATGTGATTGCTTCGTGTTCTGATGACCTTACGGTAGTGTTGATCAATATATATCTTTATTTTTGTATATATTGTTACGTCTCTGGTCGTTAGTTAATTTCCCGTATAATTTCTTTCCAAAGAAACATTACCGATACAAGTCCTTTCTTAGATAAAACTAGTTTATTCTTTCTGAATACAACTTTGCAATACACTTAATTTCCACAGTCACACTATAACAAACGCAATAATTCACAACGAACGACTCACGTGCTCGACTCAATCGTCAGTCTCTCTCTGTCTGCAGTTTAATTACATTGTTGCCGTCACTTCTTGGCCGTCTTATATATATACAAGAATACCGAAAATCTAGTAAACACTCGAGGATTCACGAACCTCCTAGAATATGACGTGTTACTAGCGTCACGTGACCCCCGCTGTCGTAACAATATATATATATATTCCTTGCACCTAATCTACTTAAAGAGCGACCTGACATTTAATACAATATCCTCTAGTTATTTATTTTTAACTTCCATTCATACCCAACTTAACTATTCATATGCCACTAAGAGGTACCACAGTGTGTGAACACGTAAAAGTACTATTGTGTATATAAAGCAAAGACGCTATCATGTTGACTTTCCTATAACTGCAACTGAGTGTAATTCTAATATCCCACAGTTTAAAATAATTGATCAATTCCATACGATTTTATCATATTTTAGGTTAAATTGTGGTTAATTCCTGACGGAGGCCTTAAGGAAGAGAATCAAGAGGACGCTCTGGTGACGTTAAGAGGACACAAACGAAGAGCGGGTCACTTGGAATGGCATCCTACAGCAGAAGACATTCTTCTTAGTGCGGGATTTGATTATCTTGTATGAAAACTTCTGTCATAAGCTGGAAAATTAAACATGTGATGCTATGTAACTGAAAGTGATCAAAAATTTAAATTAATAATCTCACACTTCTTAATGCTTCTTGATGTTAAATTATTAGGTTATGCTAACCGAAAAAGTACAATTGTTAATTCTTGAACGAGTAAAAACAGGAAGAATATCTTAAATAATTGCATAAAATTTTCAGGAAACTTCATTCCTCTGTTTTAAGAATACTTAATTGTTATTTTGTTAGAATTTATAAAGTTTAAATTGATAATAATTGTTTGTAGGTATCAACTCCTATTGTTGTTATTATAGAGGATGATCTGTTAATTTATAGAAAATTCGCATGAGAGTGTATTTGTGAAGCGATTGAAAATAAAATTTGTCATATTGTTTAGAAATTAAACTAATAACAACAGCATACACAATTGCAAGAATTAGTTGAATTGTTTTCTAGTAGAAAATATCTCATCTGCCAATCTTGTGTACAAATATAATTTTATAACCAGGAAGGTGTTGTTTTGTTGTCAACTAATGGAGATAAATGATCCATTTATTTTATATATATATTACATATGTGTGTGACGTTGTTCTATTCGGAAAAATAACTTAGTGTTACGTCACAAAAATCTGGTGGTTAAAATAAACTAGGTGGTAAAGCACTTGGCAATTAAAATGATTTTAATAACCCTTCGTGTTGCTTCTCATTAGCTGATTTTTAAGTTTTCTCGGGGTGACACAAAAGGTTACAGTAATAATGATAACCTTATTCGTACTATAATGAAAATATAGTATATACAATATTTAGTTTGCCGGAATTTAACCGCTACATGTATGTAGTCCTAGATAATTAGTTACTTTTATTCATAAATCATGTATGTTCGTGGGCTACACTATTAACTAAGCAGACTTAATAACCTACTCTGTCGTCAATGATAAATCTAATCTCCATGTACTAAATTCTAATGTAATTTTTCTACTTTATAATAAAAAAATCCATCAATAGATCCTGGTGTGGAATACAGCAGAAGGAACGTTGGTTAAGTCCATATCTTGCCATTCCGACTACATATTTTCCATGTCCTTTAATTGGGATGGAACATTGCTTGCGACAACATGTAGGGACAAAAAACTCAGGATTATCAATCCTCAGAAAGGGACGGTCATAGAGGTAGGTTCGTTTATTATCAAAGTGAGCATATGAGGTCGTATTTTATTCAAATAATCTACCTATCTAGATTCTATGAAAACAATGATTCATTATGGGAAAATGCGTCGATCTTTAAATTCTGTTTACTATTCGATATTCCACAATTTATTATATTATATTCCAAAGGATAGATGTATTACATTTTCATTTGATTTATATAATAATAGGATTTATTTTGTTTCTATATTCTCGCACAAACCTACACAAAGAGCTTTCTACGTATATCCGTCACTACCTGATAGACTAGAGGAAAGGTAGCTAGTTAGTAGCATCACTCACAAACTTTTGTGCTACTTTTCTCTCATTAAATAGTGGGATTTGACCATCACTTTTATAGCGACCCATGGCCTGAAAGTGAAGAGCACATTTGTGTTGCAACGGCCTACATGCGACCCATGAACCCTCCAATTCACAGTTCGAGCACGACACACTCTTAATCGGATTGAACAGGTTACACACAGAGTGTGAAAATAAATGGGTTAAACTAATCTTGATATAATAGTTTGTTCTAACTAATCCTGGTATCATAGTTTCATGTTCTAACTAATCCTGATATTATAGTTTGATGTTCTAACTAATCCTGGTATTGTGTTTGATGTTCTAACTAATCCTGATATTATAGTTTGATGTTCTAACTAATCCTGGTATTGTGTTTGATGTTATAACTAATTCTGGTATTGTGTTTGATGTTCTAACTAATTCTGGTATTGTGGTTTGATGTTCTAACTAATCCTGGTATTGTGATTTGGTGTTTTCACTAATCCTGGTATTGTGGTTTGGTGTTTTCACTAATCCTGGTATTGTGGTTTGGTGTTCTAACTAATCCTGGTATTGTGGTTTGGTGTTCTAACTAATCCTGGTATTAGGATTAGTTAGAACATCAAACCACAATACCAGGATTAGTGAAAACACCAAGCCACAATTTCAGGATTAGTTAGAACATCAAATCACAATACCAGGATTAGTTAGAACATCAAATCACGGTATTGTAATTTGGTGTTCTAACTAATCCTGGTATTGTAATTTGGTGTTCTAACTAATCCTGGTATTGTGATTTGGTGTTCTAACTAATCCTGATATTGTGGTTTGGTGTTCTAACTAATCCTGGTATTGTGATTTGGTGTTCTAACTAATCCTGGAATTGTGGTTTGGTGTTTTCACTAATCCTGGTATTGTGGTTTGATGTTCTAACTAATCCTGGTATTATGGTTTGATGTTCTAACTAATCCTGGTAATGTGGTTTGATGTTCTAACTAATCCTGGTAATGTGGTTTGATGTTCAAACTAATCCTGGTATTGTGGTTTGGTGTTCTAACTAATCCTGGTATTGTGATTTGGTGTTCTAACTAATCCTGGAATTGTGATTTGGTGTTTTCACTAATCCTGGTATTGTGGTTTGGTGTTTTCACTAATCCTGGTATTGTGGTTTGGTGTTCTAACTAATCCTGGTATTGTGATTTGGTGTTCTAACTAATCCTGGTATTGTGGTTTGGTGTTTTCACTTATCCTGGTATTGTGGTTTGGTGTTCTAACTAATCCTGGTATTGTGATTTGGTGTTCTAACTAATCCTGGAATTGTGGTTTGATGTTCTAACTAATCCTGGTATTGTGGTTTGATGTTCTAACTAATCCTGATATTGTGGTTTGGTGTTCTAACTAATCCTGGTATTGTGATTTGGTGTTCTAACTAATCCTGGAATTGTGGTTTGGTGTTTTCACTAATCCTGGTATTGTGGTTTGATGTTCTAACTAATCCTGGTATTGTGGTTTGATGTTCTAACTAATCCTGGTATTGTGATTTGGTGTTCTAACTAATCCTGGTATTGTTATTTGGTGTTCTAACTAATCCTGGAATTGTGGTTTGGTGTTTTCACTAATCCTGGTATTGTGGTTTGGTGTTTTAACTAATCCTGGTGTTGTGGTTTGGTGTTCTAACTAATCCTGGTATTGTGGTTTGGTGTTCTAACTAATCCTGGTAATGTGGTTTGGTGTTCTAACCAAACCTGGTTTTATGGCTCAGTCAAATTTCAGTGAAACACGGTCTTTACTGCCTGACGAAGGGCATCTGCTCGTAACGTCGCCAAAAAATAAACTAGAATTATTATAATTTATCCAATTTTTCCTTCTCACGTCTTGCGGAACAACATTCATTCAAGAATTCTAGAAACACTCACTCGTTATTCTTAAAATTCTGATGTTACTATTTGTCATTCGTCTTAAAACATTTGAGTGAAATAGAAAAACAACATATTTACAGAATTTGTAGACAAGAATTATATGTATAAAACAATGTATCAATTTTTATAGAGCAATAAATGATAACTGAAGATTTTATATAGAAATGTCTGTAGTTTTATAAGTGATAAAGCTTTCTGTTAATAATTCCGAAAACATTTCGTCCCAGGAAACTATTTTACAGCAAGGTTTTAAGGCTTCAAAGGTGGTGTACCTGGGCGATACAAAAATGCTTTTCACCACAGGATTTTCAAAATATTGTGATCGCCAGTGGGCTATCTGGTCTGAGGTAAGTGTACTTACTAAATGTTTTAGGATTAGCAGTAAGGTTTTGTTATATACTTGTTTAACACATAAAATGCTTTTGGCTACAAGAAATAAACATGAAAGAAGAACGTTTTAAGGTTATTAAAACCATATAATGATATTATTTTTTTATTTCATTAGTTTCTGCCACTTTAGTTAATTAAGATAACAATCTTCGAAATTATAACTTCAGAGAAAAGTTGTTTTGACGCTATATATTTTTACAAGATGAATTTTTTTCCATATAAACAGGTGTTTTTATTTTTCCTTAAGCATTGTAGTTTTAAGTAGGCATTTCAAATAATTAATTTTGACACAATTGATTTAGAATTAGTCGATTTTGTATTAGCCTGACTGTAACTGAATTACAGAAAGACATGAGGCAGCCTCTACGAATAGAAATCATTGATTCATCTGCTGGTATACTGTTTCCTTACTACGATCATGACACGAAGATTATCTACTTGGCTGGGAAGGTGAGCGGTTGTTACAGAAATGTTGCAAAGCATAGAGCGCGCAGTTTTATGTGACATCTCTTAGTTGAAAGTTCATCCATAATTAATATTCAACCCAAAAAACTATTAGATTCTTCTTTTAGTAAGAACCTCTTCATTTTTACAGTACATTGTTTTATTCTCTTATTTCACTGAGATATATCGTCTATCAAAGTTATTTTAAGTGACTGAAACAGCGGCAAAGTCAGTGTCTTTGTGAATTTATGTAGTTCTCTCATCCAGCCGCTAATGTTTCGTGACGTAATTTTGTATATTGCTTCGAATCTCAACTGTATAAATTTAGTACAAATAAGAAGCACAGTCATCATTTTAGAATAACTGATTTATAATTTTGTTGAGTTAAATATATATATATATAATAAGAATGAATATGCTGGTCTAGAACTAGCTGTAACTGGTTTGAATGGATCACTTCGAAATTATGATAGTGTACTGTAGTACATAAAAGCTTATTTATGCTTATAATTTGTGTTTTTAAAAAATATAAAGAATACTTGGAAATTAACCACGAATTTGAACAGGAAATCAGGACTAAACGTCATGTTACGTGTCTTTAAAATTTGTTACACTGACAAGATAACTAATCAGATACGCTAGGATATATTTTACTTGTAGTATGAAAATAACGTGTTAATTCAGGAATAATTTTGGTTCAGTTTCACAGAACATTTGATAAAGTGTATGATTTAAGATTTAACTTATCAAAATGATAGAGATTTACACGATGATAAATAATTTGTGGTTTATGGTTTGTCTTGTTATGAAAAAATATATTCTTGTTTATTACACCGTGAAATTCAATTATCATATGTAATAAACCAACGACGACAAATTTTGTAACTACTGTGATTGCGATTATTAAAAAAAAGACAATGAAAAATTATTCCTACATTAGAATTCTAACTAATTCAAAAGTTCAATAATTGGAAAGGGCCATTTATCATGTTAGAGTCACGTTAGTATTTGCGCAATATTATTATCTATAAATATTTTGTACACATATATACGTACGTAACATATAAACATAAATACATAAGAAACACTAAGTAACAAGAACGAAAAATTTGTAGATACCTTTAAGTTTATCTAGAAGACAGGAGTTTTGAAGCTGGATTTTATTGTGATACTTTGCTAAAATTTGACGAAACTTTTAATAACAGTTAGAAAATCCATCTTAAAAAATTAACAAGATTAATCGGCTTACAACCTTCTGTACATTGTAAGTATACGTTGTAATTTTGGGTGAACAAGTTGTCTTTTTTATATAACTTAAGTTTTTTGCTAACTCTTTACTCTGGTATTCATTATGTTTCATAAAAACTTGATTATAATGAATACAATGTTCATTTTTTAGCCAAATTTCATCGTATTTTGTACACTCTGTTATGACCATGATATTCAACAAATGTGCACTCTGGTGAAATATATTATAACATTTTCTTAGGGGGACGGAAATATTCGGTTTTATGAATTAGTTGGAAACGCCCCCTGGTGCTACTACTTGAATCAGTACCTAAGCGGATGGCCCCAACGGAGCGTAGGTGTTATGCCAAAGCGAGGAGTGTGTATTACACGCTGCGAAGTATTTCGTTTTTACAGATTGTCTGCTATGAAGGGAATGTGCGAACCAGTTTCTATGATAGTCCCCAGAAAGGTTTGTATATGAATTATTTCAGTTGAAACAGAATACCATTAATAGCGTATTATGATAACAATAAGTACAGGTGAAACGATGCATTTCTGTCTTCAGTTCTTAACTAAACTTTACATATGATATTATATACCGAGTAATGATTTCTGATAAAAAAAAGCTAATACATTTTCTTACGGTGAAATATAATCATAAAAGGTATGGATTTTGCACATCGAACTTTCGAGTTTAATAACCGTAATGGTCTACTACAATATACGTCAGCTTATATATCAGGAAGTAACTCAAATATCGAAATAGAAAGCTGAGTTGGAATAACGCTTTCAGTCAAGCACTAAAAACAACTTCTAGACAATACATGATATTTTCAGTGGAATATACATTTGTTGTTGGGTTAATGTTAACATAGCTTTATTTGTTTTATTTGACTTACGTCGTGGAAAAGCTGCAATTATATGAATAAATCCTTGGATTATATCTCACGATTAATATATTTATCTTGACAATGAAATTCAAGACTCTACGTTAGACTACATGTCTTTAAGATTTATTTCACTTACAATATATATATTAATCGTGAGATATAGTCCAAAAATTTATTCCTTTAATTAATTCAAAATGTTGATCAAGAGAAAGAAAACATTAAAAATGGTTATAAGTTTGTGGTATGTTCATATTCACATTGTTGATATATAAATAATCAACATACGAAAGGTTTTAGATTACTGTGATTTCAGTTTTAACTTCTAAGAGCTGAAAAATTAAATGTCAAAAGAAAAGCTTGAAACTTAAAAGAAATTACATAAATATTTTTTTAAATATAAAATGATTTTGTCATTCTCGTAATTTTTTTCTTTCCATTTGGAAATTTGGTAAACTTCAAATGCGTTTTAAAACTAAGGCTATTAAGATTTTAAATTTCTATTTTAAAGTTAATGTTTCAGTTTAATTTCTTTTTCAAAATGTTATCTTAAGAGGTTTGAGCTGGAAGTGAATTTTTAAATTAGAATTAAACATTATTTATTGAGGTATTTTTCTTTGTAAAGACAAACATACTTTGCGTTTTTATAACTGGTAAGATAAAAAAAATTAGTTGTTATTTGTATGTTGACGGAAATCTTCAGAGCAGAAGTTGTATGTCAGAAAAAGGCAACAAGCAGTATCATAATATGAATCTTTTCTTGCCTTTAGGTTCTTTTCTTACACTGTAAAGGCTAAGAGAATATAAAGTGGCCAACTGATTTTTTAATACTCTTAACAGCACGTAGTCTGTATTGGTATCCTATTTCAAGCTGTGAATATAATCAACTTATATTACCCAGTAATTTACCAACTGTGCTAAAACACCTCTTCTTAATAAATACGTCAATGCAGATAAATATGTCATATTTTCACCATACTTTTTGTAAAAATTAACATTAAGATACCAGAAAAATTATATGAGTTATTGTGATGTAATAAATATATCTGTATTGGTATTTTATGACGGTATCTGTCTAGAGTCTCTATAAACTCTATAAAAATGCTTGTTTTTGGACTATAAAAAGTGTTATGATGTAGAATTTTAACTGAATGCTTCACAACTTGAGGATGTGAGCAATTTAAAGGTGAATAAAAACACCATTTTGTATGTAGTAAAAAATAAAACGAATATTTACGATTTTTGAAAGAAAACTCACTAAACCCACTGTAAAAACAGCCAAATCTTAATAAATAAATATTTTCAAATCAGTTGCTGTAGAGTATTGAAATGATTTTAAGCATGGGTTTCATGATGCTTTGAATAACGTTGATTCGTCCAGAATTTCCCAAATGTTTACAGAAAATTTTTACAAATATATTACTAATTTCATATTTTATCTTCTTTTTTTCTGTTCACTGACCATTTTTATTAGAGAACAATAACATAATTTCTCTTAGATTGAAACCTACATTAACTTATTACCGGATTATCCAAAGTAACTTATCTTAGCATATTCAGACTTTGATTTTATTATTTATAAATATGTTTTTTCATACTTATTTGAGTTCAAGGATAGTTTCAATTTCATAGCTCATATTTTCCTTTCTCTTAGAGGTTGGAATTTCAAGAGGATTTGTACCCTCCGACACCCGCTCCTTCTTCCTCTTTAACAGCCAAAGAATGGATGGAAGGTCAAAACAGACCACCAGTATTATTTTCCATTCAGGTATTCCGTTTTTTACATCGTTGCAAATAATAAAATATAAAAGATAATAATAAATTATGTATTATTATTTGGCTCTCAGATTTCATAAATATTTATCAGCGAATTAATCCTTGTTCGTAGTTTAACACTAATATAATTGGTTGAAAGGGAAAAAATTAGTTCCTCTTAATCTTAATGTTGTATATTTTAACCTCCTGAGTTAATACATATCATATGCTTATTAATTTGTAAATATCACAAATCTACTTAACAATTAAAGATTTTTGATTGAATGACTATTAAAACAGTTCCTTTCAAAAACAAAATTAACCAATATTCTTTAGTTAATACATATCATATGCTTATTAATTTTGTAAGTATCACAAATCTACTTAACAATTAAAGATTTTTGATGGAATGACTATAAAAACAGTTCCTTTCAAAAACAAAATTAACCAATATTCTTTAAAAATAGTTTCTTTTTTATTCTAAAATAATTTCAGCAGCTTTAGACTAATTTTGTTTTTTGTGTTTTTCGACAAAGCTTCGACTTAATAGTTATAAAATCCAGTTTAATACACAGTCATATGTAAAACAAAATGTGTATATTTTGAGTTTTAATTATATTCAGTCATTGTTCAGCCTACCACTTAACATTGAAATACCTGTAGTGAATCACTAATGTGTCTTTCATATCGGAAACACTACAGAGAATCTTAAAATCACCGACGGCAAGTTCGCCGTTTTTTTCGTTTTTTTTTGTAATTAAGCACAAAACTACACAATTGGCTATCTGTACTCTGCCCACCACGGGTATCGAAACCCGGATTCTAGCGTTGTAAGTCTACAGACATACCGCTGTACCACTGGGGGCAGTTCGCCGTTACAGATATGCAATTGTTAAAAAAATGTAAGACATGTACTCTAAACCTAATTATAAAGTGAACATTTTAATTTAGTTGCCTTTCAAAAACGTTATCTTGAGCAGTTTGTGTTGATAGTATGTTGTTGAATCTGAATCTGACTATATTTTTTAAGATTATGTTTTGTGAAACATACCGTGAAAGAGCAGAAAACTGTCAACCAATCAAGCTAGGTAACAGCATGTATAAACAAACTGATAAACAACAAAATAACATTCGTGTTTACTCAAGCGAAAAAGATTCCGAAATTGCATTTGCCTTTGAACACAAAATAAAAAAAATATTTGTAGAAACACAAATAGTAAAATATGTTAAAGTTTATTTTTAATTAAATTATTCTGACTCCAATAAACTGTAGAATCCAGGTTATAAGTTAGCTTCTTAGCGAATGGGTTTAGAATCAAAATTATAAGTTAGCTTCTAAGCGAATGGGTTTAGAATCAAAATTATAAGTTAGCTTCTTGGCACAAGGGTTTAGAATCAAAATTATAAGTTAGCTTCTTAGCAAAAAAGGTTTAGAATCGAGATTATAAGTTAACTTCTTGGGACAAGGGTTTAGAATCAAGATTATAAGTTAGCTTCTTAGCGAATGGGTTTAGAATCAAGATTATAAGTTAGCTTCTTAGCGAATGGGTTTAGAATCAAGATTATAAGTTAGCTTCTCAACGAAAATGCATATAATCAAGATTATAAGTTAGCTTCTTGGCAAATGGTTTAGAATCAAGGTTATAAGTCAGCTTCTTAATGAAAGGGTTTAGAATCAAGATTTTAAGTTAACTTTTGAGCGAATGGGTTTAGAATCAAGATTATAAGTTAGCTTCTTAGCGAATAGATTTAGAATTAAGATTATTAGTTAGCTTCTTAGCGAAAGGATTCAGGATCAAGACTATAAGTTGGCTTCTTAGTGAAAGGATTTAGGATCAAGATTATAAGTTAGCTTCTTAGCGAAAGGGTTTAGAGTTTTCTTAATCAAGAGGCATTTAGAAAAAACAAAATGAAATAACTCTGTTGAAGAAATAAGTTGATATTTTATATTTCTTGACGGATTTATATTTTCTCAGTATCATATTTCAAACTAAATTTCTCTTGATATTGAATAGTAAAAAAACGTGGATATATGATTTAGTGAATCCAATCTTAGGATAACTAAATAAGGCAAGTGAGTTATCACTATTTTTGTTATATGTTTAAATACAACTGAATTTTGATTGAATGGAACAGTTATCTATACTCGAGGATCTTTGGAGGACTATATGTAATTTTAAAGTGTAAACCAAATTGCTGGATTTAGCTATAAGCTCTTTCGAAAAGTTTATAATAGTAATCTTTGTGGCTGATGTTTGTGGTTGAGAAGTAGTATCACGATCAAAATGTTTGTGCCATAACTTCATATTAATTGATCCTTCTGAATGTAACCTCGATTTTTTAAAATTATAATATGATTACCTGTATTACATTCTATAGCTAATTGTTATAAAGCTTTAAGCTAATCTTAAAACAAATTACGTTCGAACTATAAACAAAAACCGAACTCACCTGAGAATTCGTTTAAAGTATTCCCACAAGTGTTATCTCCAAAGAGGTACATCGAAATACAGATCTCAATCGCGGAAATTATTTGAATTCCACAAAATAAAAACAAGCTCAATTTTGAAGCCATTTTTGTGTCTTCGAACATGTATGATTTAACTGTGTAATTCTTATTTTGTGTAAGTATAAACTCTCGAATGTTCGTAAAAAGAGTCTATTAATGAAACATCTTTATAGTTTGCAGATTTTGAAAATTAATTGCTTGTAGTTAAGCGTAACTTTACACAAAGGGCTATCTGTGCTCTGCCCACCACGGATATCGAAACCCAGTTTCTAGCGTTGTAAGTTCGCAGACATGCCGCTGTGCTACTGGAGAGCTTAAAAATTGAATGCAGCATTTCAAATCTTGGTCTGTCTATTCCTTTGATGGCAAAATATAGAAATACAAACAAATATTTCATTTTACAATAAGGTTTAATTATATATTCATTTACTACTACATCCAAGTTCGATATACTGATATTTGTTTTAAACTGTGAATCTATACATATAAGAGTTTATATTACAGATTTATTTTATTTTCACTAAAGATAAAATTGAAAATATAATATTCGACGTAGAAGTCTGATGCATTCTTTGATTCGCTGCACCCTCTGTTGTGGACTGAACTGCAGTCTCACCTATTCAAAGCTCATCAGCCCAACTTGGGTCAGCTGTATAATACCGAACTATAAATCAGGCGCTATACCATAATATTATTCACATACCTATATTAATCTAAGTTTCTATAGGTTAAAAAAAACACAATTAATATATCAGTGCTATAAGCGTTATAATTCTAAATATAGTTAGGCACTTGAATTCAACCTAATTTACATTGTTACAAACTCATAAAACACATCGATAAAAGTTTGTTTTTTCCACAGGATGCAGAATCAGTTGTGATCAATAAACAAATGTCTTATCTGCCTGAAATACGCTCTCTGAACATATCCACTTCTGACGAGACAGACAGCAAAGAAATACAATGTGATCGTCCACATCCATATATGTGAGTATAAGTTATCACTGGTAAAAGTATTGTTCATTTTTGTATTTATTTAACGGTTGAATTTCTTTTGGAATACAAGTAGATATTAGTTGTGAATTTTTGTTGTAATATATCGTCGATGAAAAGGTTCTCATACGTATCTCGGAACATCAGTGATTTGCAACAGCACTGTATTTTTTGTAGATGTACTATCACATTTGTAACTGTATCTAATAACATACTTGAAATCGAGGTTTGGCGAACATGTTCTGTTATTCTCAGATGTTACTTTCTTCTATAAATACCATATTGATTGTGAAATGTCTATTGATGCTAAGTAAATTATTCTTATTTATGTCTCAGCCAATTCTGGTTTAATTAGTAATTCCCTGTCAATCTTGAGCTAAAAGTATTTCTAGAGGATATTTAATTTCTTTTTTCTGAATGTATATTGTTACAGTAAAGAAAATGTTGGCAAAGGTGATCAGAATGGCGTAGATCAAATGAATGGGCTAGACTTGTCAGACAGGTTAAGCAGGACTACGCGAAAACAGAAAAACATAAGAAACGTATCAACTGAAGAACACGATGTTTGTGACCCACAAACCACGGTAGAGGTAAACTACTCATTGTTTGCGTCTATTTATTTATTTTTTGATTTGAATAAATGTGGAACAGAATAAAGCTATGGCTTATTGCACGAATAACTGTGCCAGGGTTTTATTGATTGTTAAATTGTTTCGAAATATTTTATACTTTGTTCTATTTCGAACTCACAAGTACATTATGGAACAATGATATAAATTCCTGTTTAATCTTTCCTTGAATTTACAAAAGTTTTGTCAATTTACAGTTCTATGACGTGTGAAATAAGGAAAAAGTTCAATATTTATCTTAGCTTATAGTTTCGTTTTAGACTTTTTTTTTAGATTTGTTATAAAAATAAAAAAGGTTTAATATATTATATTCTTTACCTGTCATGAAATAACCTTCATTTTATGTGCTACAGTATGAAAGCTATATATCGATTCTGAACTTCCACATTTAATGTATAACTCTTACGTTTCAAGTACGTGTGTATTCTTACATTTCTATAAATACCGACCTTTTCCCGTATTAAAGAAATGTGTTTCCCATTTCTATAAAAATGTTGTCTATATTTAAAAAAAAATAGAAAAGATTCTTAAATTTGGTTTCAAAGTTAAACTATTTAATATTATGGCTATATTTGACGAAAATCATATTAACAAATATTTGCCGAGTAGTGTAAACTCAATTATTTTGTTCTATAATTTTCAAACAACAGATGAGAAAAATCATTGCTCAGCAGTCGGAAGAAATAAGACGCTTGCATCAACTCCTGCGAGCTGAGGAAAGGAAGGTTCAGAAGATGGAGAAACAACTCGCATCTCTTATAGGAAATGGTGCTAATTCCTGATGTTACAGAAGCATGTACAATGACATTTAAAATGAAAACTTACCGAGTTGAAATCTTTATAAGTTGGGTAATAGATGCATATGACAAAAGAAAAAGACAAGAAACAGATTGCGTTTTAAAGACGAAAGATTGAATTGTTTGATTTGGAAATATCACTTGATGTAGAAATGTTTAAAGAGTGACATGCACCATCACCTAGAATAGGCATGCAGTTACTGGACATCATGAATAATACTCAAGTGAAAGAGAACAGCAGACAGCAAAAAAACTAACTGTTTGCCATTTTGAAAACTGAGAAATGAGGAGGTTTAATTAACAGGAATTAAAGTGATTTTTTCACAATCATTTATTAAAGGAAACGTCATTAAAATCATTTGATTGTGATTACATGACCACGATTTTTGCTACCAAGAAAAGATTTAGTAATGGACAAAACTCCGCAGGTTGTCGTTAGCTGACCGAAAGAGTTTTTTATGTAAAATCTAACGAAACTGTAGCGGTTCGTTGTTAAAGACAAGGCTACACAATAGGCTACCTATGCTTTGCCCAACACAGGTATCGAAATCAGAATTTTAGCGTTATAAGCCTTTGAAATTCCACTGAGTCATCGGGGGCCATTTAATGAAGAAACTAGTTTATGTGTTTGATAGGATTTTCATTTCTCGTTTCGGTTTTATGACAGTGAAAATTTCAGAGTAATTTTATATATACCCTTTTACTTGCTTTGCTAAGTCGTTTTCGTGCTGAAAAGTAAAATTTCAATGTTCTGATTATTCAAAATGTAGAATATTTTTCAAGAGTAGGATAATAATGTAAAATAAACTATTCCTAATTTTAAAAAGGCATATAAACTTTCTGAACATAAGTTCCACTTGAGAGTTCTAAAACTCTATAAGAAGTGCGAGTACCACAAGTACACAAATGAAGTACGATTCGAGATATGTGCGTACGTTTTTCAAAGTTGTTTTCCAGTACAAATTATAAATTAAAGTGAGCATCTTTTAACACCCAGTCTGCATGTCAAGGAGACATGTTTGGTGGGTTGACCTCTAACTAAAGCTTTCCGATACGCTCCTTTTTAAATTCTAAATGGAGGTTTGAACTCCTTGCGATATCTGAAATCAGAATCGCCCAACGTGGCGGAATATGCATTCGTTTACGATCTATGAGAGAGTATAACCTACATCCTCATACTCAACCCCACACAAAATGATAGTGGCTTCAAATGTTGAAGAATACAAAATCTGGTTCTTCAGCTCTATAAAGCAGTTTTCTCCGCGGTTTTCGCGAGTTCTGTCAATAAAAATGGTAGGGAAAGCTCAATGAAGCTTATCTGTTGCTGTAAAAGGCTTAGTGCAGAAACTATTTAAGCATGAACTTCTGTTATTTTGTGGAAGAGAAACACAGTTCGGCCAATCCCGTAAACTCCCGTATTCGTGGCCGAAAAAAGTGTGTTTTTGAGGTTAATAGATTGAGACAGAATTCGGGTGGGCTACAAATTTTGTAAGAGTTCTCGGTATTCAAGTGCTCAATCTATTAACTCTTGAATACCGGGGCCCGGCATAGCCAGGTGGTTAGGGCGCTCGACTCGCAATCTGAGGGTCGCGGGTTCGAATCCCCGTCACACCAAACA